CTTTAAACAAAGAAAATATCAATAACTCTTATAATTGGAAATGTAAAGGCAATATAATTAAATATGGCAAGAAACAAAAAGAGAGTGATGGAGATTATCTCAACCAGACGTATTACACCCCGCATTAAGTCACCACCATCCGATGGCGTAGGATCAATGATCAACCTTCAATTTCAACCGAGAAAGCAAGTTTAGGCCAAACCCTCTAATGGAACTATGAACTCCTTTATCACAAATCTCAAATATTTAGGTGAATCCCTTTAGCAACTTAGTTTGAGAGAAATACTTCTTTTTTTACCACAACCCTATAGTCTAAAACCCCAATGAGTGATGAGAGATCATGAGAGACACTATGAGAGAGATGACAACTCTCAATAGCCTAAACCCTTTAGGTTCTTTCACAATGTGGGAGAGAGATCTTAAAGATGAGAGAGTAGGGCGTGCCCCCTTTGGGTTTTCATTAGAGACAAACTTTTTTTAAGAGAGAGAGATAGAAGAAAATATATAGAGATTTTGGGTAGAGACAATCCCTAGGCTTTGAACAAGATTAGGGTGTTTTGATTTTTTTTTACTTGCCTCTTCTTGTAAGATTGAATATGAACCATTGATCTTGGGTGATTTGTGGGGTGAGAGATTTGAGCCCTCAATTCTATAGATGGGACATCAACATTATGGAAGGTGCTAGAACATTTATCCCCTATTCTTAAACCATTTTCCCATCAATAGAAATTAAATAAAATAATTTCATTCATAATATAGTGCTTACCAAAATTATGCACAAGCCTTCTTATGCTTTCCAAAAATCCTTTGCAAGCTTCCTCAAGGCAAAATGTTACAAAACTCTTCAAAGCTCTCTCTTCAAGCCAAAGCTTGAACTAACACAAGGAGAGTTTCATTAGGGTAGGTTGTGTCACCCTAGGTGTTGCTTCATGGGCCCCACCCACACGCAATGGTAGGCCCATTAACATATTGGGCCTCCCATGCAATATTAAAATTATTAAAATTAATTATATGATTTTTAGAAATCCATAAAATCAAATTTGAATATTTAAATCATTCTAAAATCAATATCTTTGTTTTCATAAATCCCAATTTGATAAATAAAATATTTAAAGATATAGAAAAATTCAAATAATAATTATAAAAATCATATATTATTAAAACAAACATAACTAAATTTATTAGATGGGAAAATGATCCTTATGGTCTAGGAATTAAATAAATAAACGTTGTGGCACTCCACCTTCAACTGTAGACTACGGTCTACACTTGCTTTATCAAACCGATTCAATGTTTCTCATGACCCACAGTTCATGAAGGGACTCATTAGTGGGTCACCACAGTCTGGCCCATGAGCCAAGGGGTCTTAATCATAATTTGTGAATTTCAAGTTCTCCCCTAGAGACATACCAATATCACCTAGACCTGATGCGATTACAGCTCCTATAACGCATAGGGGTATCTCTCGCACATGCATAAATTTCACCGTAAAGGGTGGTTCGCTTTCCCGAAACGACTATCATTCTGCATGCCGTGGGATGACTGGCGGATGAGGCTTTGGCCCTCCGTCCCTGAAGGCCACCATCAAACACAAAGGTCACACAGTCCCTCGGCTCAGTCATCCGGGCATACTCCAACCTCATCAAGGGATGACCTATTAGAACCCTTATCGGATAGTTTTCTATGTCCAACTAATATAGGTTTTTCCCAATCGATTGGCCTATCTCGTCAAGCTCAGTTCGATATCAGCAAACGTCATTTGCTTCGTATGGTCCACAAGGGACCACACTCCTCTTGAGTTCATATTCATCTATATCATTTCATTTTACAAACACCCATAAGGCTTTTAATGGCCACACTCACCCAACAAAGACCTCTAAAAAGTGACATATTTTTACGGAGTCCTAGTTTTTGGATTTTTAAAAAAATTTGAACTAGAGGTCAAGACCTCTTGAAAGTAGCCTCTTTTCGCAAAAAGCAATAACCAAACCGGCTAGCATTGCTTGATGATTAAGAAGTAAGACTTGTAATATATAACGGAATTTAAAAAAAAAAAATGAATTGAACTCGAGGGAGTTACTCGGACTCATCTGAGTAAATCGCCTCGGCTAGGATCCGAATACCTTAGCCGAGTCGATTTTTTTAGCGTAGGTCTTTTTTTTTTTTCCTTTTGAGGTTGTTCAGATGTTACATCTTTTAAATTTGAGGTATTACGGGGTTTTTTCAAAAGGAGACAAAAATTCATAGAATCATGTAATATTTGACTTGAGGCTCTTTGCATATTATTTTTAACTATATAGTTAAGTCAGCAGGTAAACTGTGCACCGAACAAAATGTCGCATAAAAATTTCTGAAAAAGCCCTGGAAATACCAACGAAATTATGCAAATTCGATGAAAACAAAGGCTCCCATTTTTTTTTTTTGAGTAATAGACCAGTTTGGAACTTCCCAATCACTTTGTTTTGTTAAGTGAAAAACCAATTAGAAACATGTACCTTCACTTAAAAATAAAAGCCTTCGGAAGCTCAAAACAAAAGACTTACATAAATCTAAGATCCAAATTTTATTTTTGAAAATAATCATCTGGGATTCTAAAGCGGATCAAAATATAATGAAAGGCTAACTAAAGGAACTAGCTCATTTACATGCAAATGTCTTCTTTTTTTTCTTTATATTGTGCTCCTGTAGGTGCACACTACACACTTGCTTCATCCGGTAAAATCTTTTTTGTCTTCTGAAAACTTCAGGATCCACTTTAGAATCAGCGTGGTAGGAAACCGCGGATAAAGACGGAAAATTGTCTCGTGCGGGCTGGACTAACCGCGGATAAAGAAGGAAAATTGTCTCATGCGGGCTGGACTGCATGACTACACATGCGATCTTAAAGATGGATGTAAGGTGTTTCATTTTAAAACAATGGAAAGTAACGGTCTAAATGTTTTTTTACTAGAATTATTATTTTTAGTTTTAAAAATTTATTTATTTTTTTATATTCATGATTTCAATGTTAGAGATTACATGTCCTTAAAAATTAAGTCAAAAAATCCATCTCACAAATATATTTATTAAAAGGCCCGCATTTCTATATGTACAGGCTTGTAAGCATAGAAACCAGGTCCTAAAGAAAAACTAGGGGTACGGAAGCTAGAGGAAAGGTGATGGCCCTATGAGACCATAGTAAACCGGTTAATAAAAATCACTAAAAGTGTTATTTTGAAGAAAACTTATTTCATGCGGGCTGGACTGCATTTCTACATATGCCATTTAGAAAGTGTAAACCATCCATTTTAAAGATGGATGCAGCAAGTAGGTGTTCTATCTAAAAACAATAGAAACTAACGGTCCAAAGGTTTTTTTAGTGGAATTATTATTTTTAATTTTTAAAATTTATTTATTTATTCATATTCATGATCTCCATGCTAGAGATTACATGTCTTTAAAAATTAAGTCTTAAAATCCATCTCAAAAATAGATTTTTTTTAAGAGACCCACATTTCTACATATACGGGCTTGGCCGAATAGAAACCGAGTCCTATTTTGAATCACACACACAAAAAACTAACAAACAATTGTTTCATGCGGGCTGGACCACATTTCTACATTAGGTCTAGAGGTATAAAGCATCGGTCTTAAAAATGGATGAAATGGATGCGAATAGGTAGTCCATCTAAAATGAATTGTAACTAACCGTTCAAATATTTTTTTAATATATTATTAATTTTAAATTTAATTTTTTCATATTTATAATCTCCATATTAAAAATTATATATTTTTTAAAAATTAAGATCAAATTATATTTAAAAAATATATTTATTATCAAGCCGGGATTACTGCAATAAGCGGGATGGCCGCATGTCAACCACATCCAAAACTAACAGTACTCAAATGAGAGAGAGAATGAAGAGAAAGAGACTTGTGGTAGCGACAACGAATGGAAAGAGAGTGGCGAGCAGAGAGACAAGATGTTGATTTCTACATTTGTTTTTATTCCAATGGGCCGGGAGAGAAATTAAATATTAAGAAAAAGAAAGAAAGAGAGAGAAAAGTATGTGGCGTTTGAGAGAGAAAGAGAAAGGGTACGTCGCAATTTCTTAGTTCTAAGAGTCGGGCTTTGAACCACGCACGCAGCCTCAAACTTGTAGCCAACTCCTAAAGTATCCCAGTTTATTCACCGCTCTACGTGCGGACTTCCCAATGGCTCCTCTCCAAAGCAAAACCAACGCTCTAAACCCCAGAGACTTTCCAACCTAATATCGAGTATACTAAGCTCCCTCGGGAGCATACTATATATTTATTCCCTCAGGCAAACACTCAATTTGTTTTTGTTTTTTTTAAAAAAAAAAAATTTTGGGATCCATCCAATTATAACTAAATGATTATTTTTTAAAAAAATAGATTCTAGAGGTTACATCTCTAAAATTTAAAATAAAAAAAAATTTATATAAAGTTGCAACCTTTTTAAATGTAGGATTAAAGTGCACTTCAAAAATATGATAAAAGGTGTTTTGATGTTGGAAAACTCATTAATTAAACATCTCGATGTCGAAATGCATGAATATGAAAAGAAAAAAAAAGATTTTGAGTCTCAAGGATAGTGTATCTTGCAATATATTATTTCGACCGTCTATTTTCAAGATTTTCGTATGTTTATAGATCTACTTGATTTAAACTGTTTTTAGAGTTTATAATTAAGAATGAAAATAGATTGTCAAGCCATCCTAAAACAGTTTGACACCAAATTTATATTTACTATAAAATATGAAGGCGCATTGTTTAAGCAAACCACGCCCATAAAATAATAAAATAATTAAGTTTCAAGGTTGCAACCTCGTGGAAACCACACCCCTAAAAAATTATATGTATAGCAAATTTTGCCGGTGGAGTAAACAGTTAGTATACTCTCGATGGAGTAGAAAATCTTTTGATACGGTACTCTTGTTCTCTCTCTTAGAGATATGTATATATTCCTGTAAGCACATAGTTAATCATACTAAAACTCCATGGATCAGTCGACCCCCACAGTTAAGGGAAAGATGGAGGGTGGAGAAATGGGGGGAGGAGAGAGAAAGAGGGGAAAGAGGAGAGAGAAGAAAAGATTCAGTCAGGAACAAGTGAGGTCGCTGGAGAGCGCGTTTGAGAAAGAAGGAAGGTTAGAGGCGAAGAGGAAGGGTGAGCTTGCAAGGGAGCTTGGACTTAATCCAAGACAGATAGCCATATGGTTTCAGAACAGGAGAGCAAGGTGGAAGTCTAAGCAACTGGAGAGAGATTATGGGGTGCTCGGAGCTGATTACCAGGCTCTGCTTTCGAGTTTTCAGTCTCTCAAGCAAGAGAAACGGACTCTCATCAAGCAGGTAATCATCTCTCTCTCTCTCTCTCTCCTCTCTCTCTCTCTCTCTCTCTTTCCATGTTTTGAAGCAGTTGCACCTTGTTGTTAACCTTTTAAGAACATGAATTTGGAACGGAATGCTGTATTCCGTGTGGGTTTCGATAGTTTTTTTTTTTTAATGGATTTCTCTTTAAGAAATTAAACTTTGAATAATTGAACAAGCCAGCCTTTTGGGCATGGGCTGACTTTACGCATTCAAACACCCTCCAAAATTCATGATGAACATAAATTTTGGATTAAAATTTTTAGGGATAAAAAATCTTTCGTGAATCTGGAAAAAAAAAAATTTAAAATTGTAAAAATTTAAAGGTTATATTTTTTTTAAAAGATATTTTGCACCAACCATTTTGTATTTAAGTTGGACCTTCTTTATGGCTTCCCCATCTCAAAGACGGCGTTTGATGGTCAAGGGAACACATGCGTCTTTGAGCAATAAAATTACGGAATATAGTAATAATAAAAAAGGAAAAAAAAAGAAAAAAAGACATATGAGTCCCCTAACTCGTTAAACACTTATCTATTAAAAGATGTTTCCAGTTTCTCGAGTTCCCATAAACCCTCACGTTTTTTAATATTTTTGATAGGTGCTTAACATTAATTTTCTTATACAGTATTTTTGTTTTTTAAGAGATCATAATAATTATTTATCATTAATTTTCAAATCAGGTGTCGGCTATGCAGTAGTGATTGGACATAATATCTCGAATCCTATGATACACTTTAATATATCATATTTTATATTTAATTGCTAAAAATGATTCACCTCATACCAAATAAATAATTTCATACCAAATAAATAATTTTACAGTACACAAGCTCTTTTTTATAATTATAAAAATAAATTTAATTTTTAAAATAGCTGTACTATCCCATTATTTTTTTACAATTCTAATTACATTGAAATTAAAATCAGCTTTTCGTAATATAGTCATGAAAACTCCAAAATCAGGTAAAAGTACCTTAAGATTCTAACGATCACTTCATGTTTACATTATTGGGATTTTTGGCGGACACGTAGGCATCTTCATTTACGTTTGTGGTTCTCTTTGCAGGGCGTCTTTCTTTGATGTACGGCATGTGCATTTATGAGATTCGTTGCACGTGCCAAACGTACTGACATTAGGACTGGTAATGCCGGTCCTGGCCTGGAAGCCAAATAAAATCGGTAAAAAATGAAAGAAAAAATAAAAGTAAAAGAAGACCGGGCCATGTCGACCTTTTTCAGGATTAGGTACGCCGTACCTTAGGGCTGTTGTTGCCCTGTCCTCGGACCACATTCTCTATCTAAAGCTCTAGTTTTTTAAGGCTAGGCAGCTTAGGCGGGCCATTGCCACCCCTACAATAGATCTAGTTCTTCGCACTATTTATGGAGTTTAAATTTCTTATTCTCAAGTCACTAAAGTTTGCCAATTAGTATTTAGATAACGGGAGTTCCGATCTTTACGCCCAGTTCCAAGTTCGGTTAGGGGCGAGTTAGACCACGTCACTCAACTCAAAAATGTGAAGTGCGGGCCTCCACGCTACCCTCCATGGAGAGCAGCTTTTTTTCTTCCTCCTCCCTCCACACTTATTTCTCTACTATTATCCTCTCTCTAACTTTGTACCCATAGAAGTTTTAGAGAGTGTGAGGGTTCACCACATTTGCATGATTTTTCTACAACTTTTGTGCATCAATAAATTAATAGAATAATTGATTCTAAGGGATATAAGAAGCCCTAAATTGGATGATAAATTCATCTTGATAAATTTTTTTTGATTTTTTTTCACTAAAAATTATCCTTTTTTACTGAAAAATGAGGTTTTTTTTTTTTTGCTATTTTCTGATAAATCCGCCAAAATGCATCATTCTCCTTCATTCTTCAACCAAATTTTCTCAACTTTGGTTCTAAGTGGTCGTAATCAAGCTTCTTACAAGATTATTGGCTCAACTTGACTGAATATTGCCCCTTTTTTTTTTGTGGATCTGACTTAAAAAAAATTGTTTTTTCTCCGCCCATTTATGAAATCCGCCAAATATAATTTTTTTGTATAGTTTATCAAAACGAATGGGGTTTTCGAGCTTGATTATTTGCACCCGGCATCTAATAAGGTTTTGTTTATGTTTTATAGTTTAAGTTTTTTGCTCGAATATAGGGTTTCATGAATATTACACTTAATGAAAATCTGCCAAATTGATGATTTCTACGTTGAGTTTGAACAAAGAAAAGTTCATTCATCACTTTAAATTGTTGATGATCCAATTTGATGGATCCAAACCGATTATTGCATAGATCTAGGCCCAAAACTAATCGGGTTTAGGGTTTTCCCACAAATGGTCATTTTTTAAAAAAATTATTCAAAAATTGGAAATTGGAAAATTGTTTTTTTTTAATTGGTAAATTTAAAGACATGCATAATTGGTAATTTCTTTCTAAATTTTGAAAAAATTTCCAATCCCCCAAAAAATTCCAGGCAGTTACCGAACACAAAATTTTCGAGTACAAGAAACTAGAACATCGAGCTTCACAGGGAGAAAGAACTTTCAGGTTCTCGATGACAACATGCTTCCAGTTGTCAAAACGCGCAAGAGTTTTTGGCACTAGAACGGCATATATGCTAGCAGGTTTGGAGGTGCACATTACTTCGTTAGTTTAAGGTGCATGGCGTATATAAAACGCACCGCACTCTAAAACGGCATATATGCTAGCAGGTTTGAGCCTAGGCTCTAAAGAATCGAAGTAAAGCGCACCTTTCAATAGTGTATGTAGTTTTAATATTAAGGGTGTGGTTTGTATAGTGCCGAAGCTCTAAACAATCAAAGTAAAATGCACTTTCAAATAATATAGAAGAATATTGTTTCAATATTGAAAATCTTTGTGATAGCCTTAAAATATATTTTCATCTTTAATTATAAAATTTAAAACTTAAAAAATAGTGTAGTTGAAGATCTTGAAAATTGACCGTCCAAAAATGCATTAGAAGATACATTATTCCAAAACTTGAAATCCATTTCCATGCATTTTGATGTCGAGATGATCAATTTGAGGATATTTAGGTATCAAAGCAACCTCTTTTAGTTAAATTTTTTAGGTAAGCTCTAATTTGATTGTTTAGAGCCTCTAATTTGTAATAGCTTTTAAATATATTTTAATATTTAATTATAAATATTAAAACTTACAAATAGTGTAGATCAAACAGATCCATGAAAACTTGAAAATCGTAAAAATTGAAAATCCAAAAATACGTTTCGAGATGCATTATTTCCAAAACTTAAAATCCTTTTTTTCTCATGTCTATACATCTTGATATCGAGATAATCGATTTGAAAATATTTAGGCATCAAAATATCTTCTAGTGAAATTTTTGATGTGAGCTTTAATTTGATTGCTTATAGCCTCCACTCTATATAAATTTTTCGTACTTTTCTTGTCTTTTCTTTTTTGGCAAAAGGGCAGCTATTTTAAATTTTTTTTTCACCTTTTACACTCGTACATATGGCTCTAGCGGATCGCCAACGCTTTTGAGTATGATAAAAACAGAGAACACCGACCACAAAAACGAAGCACTAACTAGCCGGAACCAAATTTACCAACATAGATACAGGTTTATAAACATCTAATAAAAAAACCAAACGAAAAGAAAATAAAGGTTGATGAAAGATAGGGACCAACAATGGATGGCCCATCTGTGTACTTAAAACGTTGGCATGATAATCACAAAAAACTTGCTCCCAAATTTTTTCCAATTGATTCCCTTTCGATTCATTGCAGTTACAAAAACTGGGAGCCGTATTGGAGAAATCAGAGGCCTCAGGATCAGCAGAAGGAGATGACACCGTTAAAGATGCAACAGCTTATTCAGACGGTGAATACAGCCGAGAAGTGAATGGCAGCAAACTTGTTTATGATGAACCAGAAATGCTTTACGAAGCCGAAGAGGTTCTTATGGGCTCCTTTTCCCCAACCATCAAGACAAGCCCCTCAGATTCTGGCTGGTTTTGTGACCAGCCATTTACTAGCTCCCAGTGGTGGGAGCTATGGCCATAAACGGTCCAAACTGAGAAAACCTAACACAGGGAGCTCCCAATGATGGGAACTTTGTCCATGGACGGTCCACACTGAGAATACATAACACAGGAGCCTCATGTAGCATAGTAACAGAAATTTAGGAACATCTCAAACCCCTTCTGAATACGAAAACTAAAAAGTGATTTTTCCATTCTGATCACACTGGTGTGCTTTGAAACTGTGTGCCACGAGCACATGCGCACATTTGTGTAGCTATGGCAATCTGCACTATCAAAAGAAACCCGGAAGTTGCAACACCAGGCTCCCGCCAAAGGATTTCTTACAAAACAGGGGGGGGGGGGGAAATTGAATTCACAATACAAAACTAATGCAATTCATAATACAAATAATAAGGCTTAACTTAATAACATTTACATCTCATCTCATTGTCTCTGATGGAGCAGGCACCGGTATAAGGGGCCACAGCAACTGCGAAGACTCGAGCTTGTGGGGTGGGGGGAGAGAGAGAGTGTGTGAGAGTGAGTCAGGCATGTATGCTTTAATGCTCTGTTTTCACCTTCATATCTCCATTTGGTAGAATGCTCTGCGCTTGGGTTTGCCTTTTCAGTTCCTGTATCCGGAAATGGCTTCAGAAAATAACTCACAAAACAAATGGACATTAAAATAGCAAAATTGGGTTGTTATGAAATAAAAGGGAGTTAGTTGAGATTTTTTTTTAGACCCAAAACTTACAGCTGCAGAAGTTGCTCGTATCTCTCTGTATGTATCCACTTCATCAGGAAATGCCTGCTCCAGTTCCTCAAGAAGGTGCTTGCGAAGACTCTACAATCAAATATATACATATACATAATTGTGATGAAGTGCCTCTAATTAAGATTGCAAAAGCTGGTTATCTGCAAAAACTTGGTAGAGAAATATGGCTATATATCAATGCTTTTCAATTGGTATACCAATTAACCATCATGATCCAAGTGTAGAAGGACAATAAAACCAGACCGATAAGACAAATAATACTGAAAAACGAAGCAATCCACTAACAAAGAAACTTATTTCCCACTGGCAATCACAAACATATTAAAAATGCAAGGGCAAGAGAGGGTCTATGGTGTGATGATAACTTATCTAAACTCAATAATACATACCATGATCCCAATGCTATTGTTCTCAAAGTTATACAAAGAGCCACACTGACCCCATCTCTCCAGCTCTAGTGCTCTCAAATTAGTTTATTGACCCGAACTTTCATAATCTTTTAGAGGAATCAATGAGGAGCATTTCCAAACTTCACAGGCAAACTCCTTATAAATTAGGGGAAATCTTAATTTCAAGCAGTGTTTTAAGAGAAAGAATCGATAAGGTGGATTGCCCACCACTCCACCCACTGATCCCAATCGGGATCAGCCAAATCAGCATTCCAAATTATCTAGATCGGCAATATGGAAAAATGTTAACAATAAAAAAAAGAAAACCATAAAATAGAATATATAATTTATATATGTAGAAAAAGAGTCAAAGGCCATTGAATATTATTTTGGCTAGACTTTAACCTTTACAAAAGGAAGGCAAGGGTTCCACCGCTATTTCTTTCTTTCTGTTTTTTAACCTTCAAAGAAGGCCTTAATTCTCAATATCCTTGACGTTGTTTTCCCTCGTTTGGTCCTTTCAATTAGATGCCATTAGGCGATATGGTCAAAGAAAAGGTAAAGGTATCTCATCTTTCACTCTCTCTTCCCCTCTCCTCTATATAGTTAATGCTAAAAAAGAAAAAAAAACAAGTGTACTCTTGACTCTCTTTGTGCTGTCTCTCAAAAAGTGATTGGATATGCTATCACTGATTCTCAATCACAATGCTCGCGACCTCTTTCTCTCTCTTTCAAGTGGTGAAGATCTCTCTCTCAGATATACACACATTGGGATTTGTGTACATCTCATTCTATCCAAATTCCTCCATGGGAAACATTGTACATTCTCATCTCTCTCTCTCGCTCTCTCTCTCCACATGCTGGACAGGACCCAATAAATTAACCTCAAGGAAGTTAAGCCCATCAACTGCAACCTCTTTCCACGCTTATAATATTGCAACTCCTCTATCCTTACTATCTTCTTCGGTCTTCTTCCTTCTATCTCCATGCCCTCTCTTGTTGTCTTTCTTTGAAACTAGTCAAAAGTCACAACTCAAAAGGTGTGCAAACTGTAAATTTAAAATATAAACCATATAAGAAATCGAGGCCTTTACATAAAGGATGAAGTTTTTATGAGTCGGCCAAATCAACTGTCCTCCCTCCGAAATCCATCTTAGAGATGGATTTTAGATCCATCCAAAAAATTTAGGGGTTGACACTCTATACCATAGTGAACATGATATGGAAAAAAGAAAAAAAAAATCATTTTGAACATAAAAAGTAATAATTTCATGAGTTTTCTTTTTTATGCCATCAATTTTTGGGTTTTGGTGGGACCATCACCTTTTTACATCTTTGAGGTGGATGTTAGATGCGTCAAGGGATGCATATGTAGAATTGTGTTCTCTAACGCACAAAACACTTTTTCTTACGCAAGTTGTCGTACAAAAACTAAAGAACCTCCATCAGTGGGAAATTTGTGTCAAATTGTCTATAGCCCATAGTTTAAACAAAAGATTAGCCATTCACAACAACTAAAACATGCTAGTGATCCATGCTCCCATTGTAAATGATCTCCAAGTGTGTCGGTGAACCTCACTCACAATGTAGAAGAAACTCAGTTCCAGGTCGGTGGAGGATCTATTCTAATTAAACATGGACACATTAGTTGGATAAGAGGGATCTGGATCCCATTAACCAGGGATCTAGACCCCCAATTTTGCAGATTGAGATCCCTAAAATCAAGATCCCTTTTCCTGGCATGTGTGATCGAGCTTTTGGAGCTAGAGCGATCACCTCCTTGAGAGATCCCGGTAAGTATGGGTCAAATCATAGTAAGCAGTATCAGTATTGATCAGATCAAGGATAGGGATTGCAGGATCGTGACAAGTAAACACCTCCGTATGGTAGGAACCGTTGTCCATACATGCTTAAATGTAAGGATCTCTATTCCAATATGTGGGGGAGCTCAATTAGAACTTCATTGGGACCAGATGATAAATTATACAGGACCAAGCCCCCCTTTTGTTAAAAAAATCAAGGCCGCTGAGAGCACTTAACTACTGCAATAATATTGATACAAATCACATCTAGGAGTTTTTGGCTCTCGGGACGAGTTTGTCATTTTTCAAGTTCTTTTTGGTCACCAGAACGAGCTTGTCATTTTTAGAATCTTATGTTGTCAACAGGATGTATTCGTCATTGTCTCTTTGTTTTCAGCCCCAGGATGAGTTTGTCATTTTCTCTTTGTTAGTTGGTCATTTTGGTATTTGTTAAGGTATAGGAAATTTGGTGTACAAAACAAGTAATATATTGTGTGAGTTTTCGAGTCCAAAAGTCAAAATTGTGTAGTTTCAATGCATAGGAATTTGGCTTCATGCATGGCAAAGTGGGTGCAAGAAGTTGCATGCAAGTGTGAAGAATAAGGGACAAGCGTAATCTAGTTTTCACACCTAGTTAGAGGTATTTTGGTTTCTAGTTCCAGCAAACTGATTTATATATATGGAACATTGTCGTAACAATTAGTTAGTTTTGTTTTAAGTTTGATAATGAAATCTTCTTCCTCCTTGGTGTAGAGAGAGAGAGTTCCCATCCTTGTGTACCGAGAGTACTTTGAGTTGGATGGTCATCCTTGGGTACTGCAAGTACCTTGAGTAATAAGAGTTAAGGCTGAAGATCCCTTCCTCTTTATTCCCTTGATCGAGATCAAGGAAGCCTAGTCATTGTTGCACAATTGGCCTCGAATCTATACTTTCCGGTGCCGATTTTGCACCATTTGGTATCAAAGCTACTATTGGTGGGCTTTGTCAATCATGATGGCTGCTCAAGGTAGGGGTTGTGGCCGAAGAAATGTAGGCCGTGAACTCGATAGGTTGGCAAAGACTGTGCACAATCTTACAAAGTCGGTGGCTGTACTTTTACAAGATAGAAATCAGTGAACGTGAGAAGATCCCCGGTCATAAATCCCATACACGATGGCTTGTTTGATGAGCACCATGAGTCAAAGATGGAGACTTCTTCTAACTCAGAACCAGGGACTAATTCAAGCAAGCGAAGACGTTGGTACACAAAGGTCTTGGTGAATGCATGAGTCGGATGGTGACTTAAAGTGTCCAAACCAGGAGGAGTAGGCAAGCACGATGCCATGAAGACAACTCAAGTACTAAAGTTAACTTACTTGAACTTTGTGGTAGTTTATCACCGACAGAGTTTTAGATTGCTTGAGCACGTTAGAAAGATTCTTTGAATGGAAGGATTTGTCAGATTCAAAGAAAGTAAAATTAGTTGCAATTAAGCTTCGGGGACTTGCATTCGTTTGGTGGGATCAAGCTCAGGAAGAAAGATTACGAAAGGGGAAAGATAAGATTCGAACTTGGGCAAAAATGAGGGCAAAGACGCGTGAGCAATTTCTTCAGCCAAACTTTGTACAAACCATTTAGAAACAGTTCCATCAATTGCATAAAGGATCAAAGTCAATCTCTAAGTATACTGAAGGCTTCTATTGCTTGTCCTTGCGCACAAGGTTGGATGAGACGAAGGACCAACAGGTGGCAAGGTATATGACGCAATATAAAATTTAACGGCAAACAACACCAGCAAAATTAATCATGTTTAAGAGAGAGAAATAAAAATCGTGAAGGAAATCACAAGAAGAAAGAACAAAAAACATGCGGATCCAAGTATTCCACTACGGGCCCATACACACAAGAGAAGAAAAACACACTCACAAAGGGCACACCCACAAAGGGCTTCTCTCTCTCTCCAAGAAAACACTTTCTTTGTTAATCAAAATTCAATCTTTCAAATACAATGGCACGACTCTTTTTATATCCATAAAAAAAAGGATAACCAAAAACTATTCACGCTAAAAGCTTTATCTCTCTAATGACTAAAAGCTTATCTCTCTAACGTCTAAAAGCTAAGCATTATCTCTCTAAAGATTAAAAGCTTTACCTTGTACTTGACCCTAAACTTCTACCGTGCACGTCAACTTTATCTTTTTTAAAAACCCAACTTCTAAAAAAAGATAACTCAACTCTCACGTAATCACCTCTTTAAAACGAACTTATCAAATTAACTCAAAGAATTCTAGACTAATCCTATCTCTAACAAATTAACCTTAATAAAAATAAAAAGTCTACCCAATCTCTAAAAATAAAATTAACAAAAATAAAATTAACCTACTAAAAGATAACTCAACTCTCACGGACTTACCTCTTTAAAACGAACTTATCAAATTAACCCAAAGAATTCTAGACTAATCCTATCTCAAACAAATTAACCTTAATAAAAATAAAAAGTCTACCCAATCTCTAAAAATAAAATTAACAAAAATAAAATTAAAATTTTGAACAACCAAATTTTGATCTGCGTTTTGATCTGCATCAGTATACCTCGGGTTTGCGGCTTCAAATCCAAGATGAGTTTTCCTTGCAACACCTACCCCAAGCAGAAATGGCATATCAGGCTGCATTGCTAGCCGAGGAGAGGCAAAAAAGGAGCACCAGTTGGAGGCCAGGTTCGGCACATCACAACCCAAGAGGATGACACCTCCAACCCAGGGAGTTCTTGGCCCAAGTAAAGCACGGACAACAAAAATCAATGTATTGGGTAAAAGGTTCAAGGTTCTAGAGTATACATAAGCAAGAATCCCTTGGTATTGGAATCAATGTATCGGGTAAGCTTCACCAAGGTTTCCCTGCCTTGCAATCAAGATACTCAATGGTCCTTAAAACCTGAACAAGAGCTTCTCCTATTATTAAAATCGATGTCTTGAATAACCTTACTGAGGTTCTGGATTGAATAAAGAACATAAAAGTGCTTGGTTTGTTAACAAGGAAATTTAAAACAACAAGATATTTATTTTGGGTTCTCAAAAATTAGGAACTCATCCATAGAGTTCTTAAACATCGATCATATATTAAATAATAATAAATTTGTAGCAGAATGCTTCACTAGTCCACTAGGGAATTCACGTTTGTGCATACAAAACATACAAGTATTATCTTATTCATACATGAAAATGATATTATATATATATATAAAGTAAACCTTCCAATAGCTGGCAACTATAGTGAATAGTAATACAGGTGGAACCCCGGCCGTCGGATCATCATGTAGTTCAGAATACATATAAGTATATGAATTTTAATGTTTTTTTATAAATCTGATTAAGATGAAATTTTGGGTGTATATACCTAACACTATTGCGCACCATATAAAAATATAAAAAAATTATTTTGAATAATTTAAAATGACCAACTTATCCCCGTCATTTTTCAGGGGTATTTCGATCATTTTATATTTTGGGAAATATTTTTTATATATTTTTTAATTGTGCACCCTATTTTTTAATACACAGGTCTAAAATTTTATTATGATCCGACTTTTAGAAAAACTATTAAAATTCAGATAGTGATATGCATTCTGAACCACATGATGAAGATCTGACGGCTCCCATTCCACCTATATTACTATTCATTACAACTGCCCAGCTATTGTTAGCTTTTTCCATATATATATATATATATATATATACACACACACACACACACACATACCTGAAAATGAGACTTTTGTTTGAGCCTTTGTGATGCTCCATGTTGTAATCAGTGGGAATCAAATCAAACAAAAAACCCTTTCTAAACCCTCTTTAAGAAGTAGGCAGCAAGTTCTAGCACTAGTAGAAAGGCAAGTTGTGTAAAAATCCCTAAAATTTATTTATAATATACTATTTGGTTGATATGATGTCTTCGTTTTACGTGATTCCAAACAACTCGGATCAAGATTCTGTAAAGGTGGAAACAAGATTCCATGTTGATCGAATCACGGTCTCGTGCACCTATGAACCGCAATACTTGATATTGTAAAGTCTAGATTCAAAACAATCATATCGAGACTCAATAAATATAGAATCAAGATTCTTAACTTTACGATAATAGGTTCCATGAAGATTCCTTGATGGAATCGCCAAATCAAGATTCCAAAGTGGAGTCACCACTTGGGGTGAGAGATTCCGGTAACTATGGTCCATACCCACAAGCAACCACAAGACGGACATGTCACCCACCCAACCACCAAGGCCAAACACTTGACGCCCTTCAGAAACATAACTCGAGACAAGTGTGTTGTTTGTCAAGCAGAAGAAAATGGCCAGGGATCTCTTAATATGAAGAGGAGATGGAAGACATTGCAGATGCCTTTAGATCAAATGCTAAAAAAGAAAATGTCTAAGGGTAGTGTGAATTCCAAATTTAGCCTCTAATATTAACTACGACAGAGCAGCCCCAAATGCCCGTGCCCAAAAGGATAGGAGAACAGCGGCGTGTTGACTACCTGTCAAGGCTGAAAATTCGTGCATGGAATGCGAGGGCAATGGGAATTTTGAGCTCAAATACAAGGCCATAACTTAGCTATTGTGGAAATTGAATAGGGAGCACCATCCTCAACCAAGATTCGAGGCATATGGGGAGAAAACCTGCTAGGTAGGAGGTATGACCCTCATCTGGTGCATCAGGCAGCATACGGTTTGTATGGAACCCAAACTATCTTGTTAAGGAATAGACATTGAAGGGCCATTTCTCCATTTCGGTCACTTTCAGAGAGGCGGCATTGGGCTCCAAATGGGTTCACATTGCAGTTTACAGACCAAACAAGGTCAATCAATGAGAGGAATCTAGGAAGGAACTGGATCAGGTATCAAACTTCGCCAAACCAAGGTGTATAGGGAGTAATTTCAAATGTACACCCCTAAAAAACTGTGAAGAAAACAGACGCAGGATAAGGTCCCACATGGACGGTTATGTGGATTTTGTATATAGATACTGCTTGATAGACATCCCTACCATTGGTGACCAATTTACTTGGTCCCCAGTCGCAAAACCCAATTCTAATGAAACCAGACAGATTCCTTGTATCACAAGATTGGAAAGCCGAGAACACTTCCACCCACTTAAACGCCCTTCCAAAACCAATCTCAGACCATATACCAATCATCCTAGGTATATAGGTATATACCCAATAGTATGGGGAGCCAGACCTTTTGGCTATGTTGTATGGATTCTTCACTCTAACCTCTTTAGCATGTCAGACATAATCAGACTCATGATTTGCATGAGGGGGATTTAGACCCCTTTGACCAAGGATCTAGATCTCCAAATTTGCGGATCAAGATCACTAAGTTCACAAAAATGTCTGGAATCGAGATCCTTGGTCCTAGTGTGCACGATCAAGCTTCCAAAGCTGAATTAATCACCTTCTTGAGCACTTCCGGTAAGTATGGTCGAGACTCCTGACACATCACCAAAAATGATGGTAAAAGACTATTTTAACAAATGGTAAACAAGGACATGACACTAAAACCGATCTCTTAGGCATGTCGTGGGGGGGGGGGGGGGGGGTCAATTTGATCTTAAACTGTTTTAAACAGATATCAGGGTTTTTGGTGGGGGGCGGGGGGGAGGAGATGGGGTGGGGCAAGGGGGGATGGGAGGTCAATTTTGATCTTAAACTTGTTTTAAACAGATATAAGGTTTTAGGGGCGTATTGTTCTCATGGGTTTTTGCATGGGATATGCAAAATCTCGATCTTTAGGGTTACTTGGGGGTATAAAATACAATTTTAGAGAGAGGGAGAGAACGGAATTTGTGAACTCTCTCAACTGAAAGAAGGACAAGCTTCGTTGTGGGATCCAGCCCTTTCCTGATCAAAATCTGGCCACAAGACGAAACATCCAAACCCTAAGTTAAGTAGTTTTTTGTTTTGGATATAGAGAAGGCCACTAGGACATTGAAAAAACTTGTTGTCTGTTTTATTTTTTAATCTTTTGAAGGACTCCATTTTATCAGGTTTTATTTGCTTAGTTCAAAGGGACCAAAGACTTTGGTTTCATCCTTAAACCAGAGAGCTCATTAGTTGAACCAAGCGTTCCCTTCTGTTTTTTTGGAGGGATGGTTGAACCAGGAGTTTCAGAAACTGAAACTACCCTTTTCTTTTGTTACATATTCCCACAACTGTGATTGGAATTGTATGGGGCCCATGTTCACCCCCGAGATAGCTTTTACCTGTTTAACTAACATGGAGTCTAAATGGGGTAAAATCCTACCTTCTCCAAGTAAAATTCAAGTCAACTGATACAAATTTTTTGTAGATAAGAAGTAATTCTTTAGATCTCAAGGTAGACATCTTATTCTATTCCAATATAAAATGCCGCATTCTAGAGGATTGCCACCTACAAGATCCAGCAGCTTTGGAATCAGATAGCTATATATCTATTTATTCCAACAAAGTCATGAAGACATTAGAGAATAGTTAGGCCAATACATGTTTACAAAAATGAATAAGTAAACTGGGATGAAACCTCCTTCCGATAAATTTCCTAAAGCATACAATGAGTAGATGCCTCAACATTTTCCAAGAGTAATCAACAAAATATAAACCGTCCTTTTACTGAGGTCATAGACAGTAAGCATTATGGAAAGGAGGTGGTGGTTCACCTCGTTGGATCATAAGAGTTCACCAATTTACGGGGGCAGTAACGGAATCAAGAAACCACAGAAACAAAAGGATGGGGAGGAGGATACTTATGAGACCGGGAAAAGAAAAAAAAAGGGAAATCCCTTATGTAACAAGACCGATCAAAGGAGACGAGGATTAAGAAATTCTTAGTCCTCCCCATACTATTCCCACCCAAAAATTATTCAATCTGCAGCTTCATTGTGTTTGAAACTATGATGCAATGGATATAAGTAAAGACCCCACTATCCTTTCTCTTTCATTTCCTTCTCTTTTATGTACCCAGGAAGCAATATTTATCAATGAGAATTAGGCTCACAAATAAACGTGCCAATGCAAATTAGTAAATGGGGCAAAAATTACAACTAGTCATCATTGCATTACAAGAATCAAGTCTGCCAGGGTGCAGTGTGATATCTTAATAAGCAATTTTCAATTAAATGTAACAGAAAGGTAGAATATCTGCTCAATGATAATATAGGCAATCTTACCTTGAAAACCTCAGTTTTGCCTTTGGTTATCTGATTCTTTGCAATACAATTATTGAAAACATCCCTTGTGAACTCATCTGGATTCTTCCCATCATCAATGAGGCTGAAATCTCAAAAATATGTTAAAATCCAACATATGGGAGGAAAAAAAAAAACTAAACCAAATAATCATGGGTATAAGTATTTTTGAAAAACTCACTTTACAACCTCCATGGGAATCTGAATGTTGCAACTGTCTGCTAATCTCTGCATTGTATCAAGCTCGGTTACAACAGCATTTCTACACAGATAATAAGATATCAGAAACCAAAAAACACTTGCATACAAAGACCCAATAACCATACAGGTAAATTATAAAAGACCAAAAATCTTAAAACCACAGTATATCAAACTTTGATTCCAGAACCCCAACACCTAGATAGAGTATTTCTGAAGGGATCAGAGTCTGAAATTTTAGGATGACAAAATATCAAGAACCTGAAATCCTTAGAGTTTCAAATAAGTAGAAATAGAATAACTAAAATTTCACCAAACCACCAAGAACTTGAAATTTAAAAATGAGACTCAAGTACCAGAAAGGTCCAAAATCCCAAAATAAAGGCACCTGGAACCAAGGATCAAAATCCCGAAAATAAAGATAATAAATCTCTAATATCTACAAGTCCATCAAACCATAACTAACCAATTACATAGCCGTCAAGCCTCAGGCTATGAGGAAGTTGAGGATAGACTTACCTAGGTTTCTAGTGATGTGGTGACTTCACCTCCAATAGTGCCTATGAAATAATAAGAGAACAAGGGCCGGAAAACAAGACATCAATCGCCATATGGAAAAGACCTATTCATCCTAGGCCCTCATGGTTTTCATGGCTAGCCTACCAAAAGAGACTACTCTGATAGGGTGCAGAGATGGGGTTCCCAATTGGGTAACATATGCCACTCACATAAAGTTGATAATGAGAATCGTGGTCATATTTTTATTTCATGTGTATTTGTGAGGGGCATATACAAAGAAATATCGTGGAGGTTCAACACTAATACAACAGCCAACTCAAGTATTCCAAATCTCATAACAAACTGGTTTAAAAGGAAATTCACAAATAAATGCCCAGCCAAGATTTCAGAAGTATCACTTGTAGGGATACAGGGCTGCTACACAAGGATATGAAAAATAAAAATTTTATAATCTTTTTCCATTCACAACAAAGTTTCATCTTCGTTGGAGCAACAACCCTAATAATCCCTTTACAAAATACACTTACTTGTAGAAAAACCCTTTTATTACAAGAATACTATCTTGCAAAAGAAAAGAAGTACAACGCTATTCTTTCTACAATCTCTCAAAATACATACAATAGCCAACCAAATAACATTAGACACAGTAGTACGACTTAAGAAGGAATGGGAAGCCGATTTCTAAATCACCAAATTTGTCAAAGATTACATCCTTGGACTGAATTCAACCCTCGTTATCGTCTCACATCGATGGCCCTAGTTGGGGCTCAGTATTTCATTTCAAAATGGAAGCCATACACAATAACAGTTATTGTGTCACCACTTATGTTAATGAGTGCATCAACACCTCAAATCAATGGCCCCTCAATTATCCCTCAGACAAAGAGAAATGACTAAAACACATGTGCCAAGGATTCACTCGATCCTATGATCAAAGTGAATCATATGCCATGCAAATCTCATACTTCAAACATCATTGATCTCAAGCTGAACCAATACCAGAACACTATTGGTTCAGTAGAATATGCATGTAACTCATTTGATGTCAATCTCTCCATTTGATATGGGCAAATCTCCTCAAGATTCAAGCGACATCATTTGATCCAAACCACTTATAAGAACAAGCCACGCCTTTAGGTCAAATTCCCTTTATGGCGAGCCACAGCCTTACAATCGAGCCATACTCAAATATGAGCCACACAGGTTTATGCAAGTTACATAATGAGGGTACTACATCTGAAATTGGAAACTCATGCAACAAAATGCAGCCAAACCAAGGTATGCAAACTACACGTACTGAGTTCTCAACCTGTACTGAGGTCTCAACCCGAGAACGAATATCAATTTAGATCATACAATAGCGGGTATTCCAAAACCATGCTAGAGGCAATGTAGTATTTTGAATTAAGTCACAATGCTATGAATCTAGCAAGGGAGCTGTTTTTCAACATCAAGACACATACAAGATACCCAAAACAGTTTGGAAAAACTCATTCAAAACAATCTTTTAGGCGATGATTTATCAGCAGCAACTCAAAGGACTCTTGACCTCATGAGCAATCATTTCTTCACGCAAATGCGAGATGAGACTCATCACGTCATAGGCTGCGACAAGTGCTTTTAGATCACAAAAGGAAGATCACGCACTGGCTCTTATTGCCGCAGCAGCAACTGCTATTTGACAAGCAAGATTCTCATGGAAAATGCATGATTTCAAGAATGTGTTATGTGCTCATGCACACCAACTAGACATTTATCAAAACTGGGATTTTAATGAGCAAGTAAAGTGATGATCCAACTGCTATAACAGTTAGGATGAATGATGAGCTGATCATGCATCATCTCATAATAAATCAGACACTAGAAGATGGACCAAAAAGAACACACATATGAAGTTAATGATAAAAAGTCAAAGGCTAGATAATGCCGCAAGATGATCACTCATGAACGTGGAAACTAGAGAGTGTATCACAGTGAGCACTCATGGATTCAAGATAAAAATTAGATGCTAGAAAATGCAGCAAGATGAACACACATGGAAAATCAAATGCTGGAAGGTATGCCAAGACAGACACGTATGATACTGTAATAAAATCCAATGGCAGCATTCATGCAGTGGCTAAATGAAAGTTGAAATAGGCAATCTCAAGAAAGTATCTGCAATGTCACGACCTACAGTTATCTCTAAAATAACAGTTGCAGAAACATGAAACCCTCAAATAACCATGATCCAAAACACCTAATGCAACTATTGTTTTACTGACTATAATAGTCACAGTAAAACACTTCATAAAACTCAGTGATGCGCACAAAAGTGGGCTCAGATCATGCCCTATATGTTCCTACATAAAGGACTAATATTATGTGATTAGACAAGACCAGAAACATACAAAGATTCATGCCCTAACCGTAGATTTCAGAAATGAGTTTGAAAACTTACCACACACACCTACGGCTGCAAGTGTGGGCTTCTTCACTTCATACTATAATAGGATAGACTCTACTCTTGTCAACTACAAAAGATAATGGGAGGAATAGGTGCGTGGGGCTCAAGTAGGCTAGATCTAATGACTCAAGTGGCTAATTCATTTCAATAAATATGGACCAAAAGCACACACACCCATAGGCCCCTAGGCCCCAATCTCTATTTATAGAATCCAAAAAAGAGTGGTGATGAGTGATTGAATCCTAGAGCTCAATTTAGACAATCCAAAGGTTGAGAGAGGCTAACACATCATAGCCCAATCCATCACATTACCATCATGGGATGGTGTGGATTTAAACATACACCTTTAATCACCATTGCCCCATAAAGTGCTTTCAATTTCCCTTAAATTTCAACATGCCCTTTTATCATAAACATAAGGCGTCACCACTGATTTCATAGTCAACATGATCTCCTTTAGCAAATTAATTAGGTGGGGTGTGCCCCTACTTTATTAAATTTGAATCTTGCTTCTCTCATGAAACCATAAGCTTGCTTACATCACAAGTAGCCTTCATTTTAACAATGATTGCATATGACACAGTGCATTACATGTTCCCTTAACATAATATCATGTCATTTTCTTTCATGTACTCATCCAATCTATTGTCAACAAACTCTTTAGGACCAAAGGTCATTTCCTTATGATTGGCTTTATAAAAGATACTTAGAAAATATTTGTAAAATGTTCATCTATAGTTTACACAAGAGTACATAATTCTCATAGTCCTAATTATACACGTCTTGAATATCTATTTACTACACAAATGGTCCCTTCCACTCCCATCCTGGATAATCCACGTCACTCCCATTGGGCAATGATGTGGCAAGGTGGGCCCTATGGGGGTGATACAAATTGGCCATTTGTGTGGCACTCCCACATGTGCAAGAGTCCAAATAATGTATCTTTGGTAAAACGATTTTTACGAGATAGTTTCGATCCAAATAATTCTATCAACAATATCCAAAACATTTTCTGGAATATTTACTTATTCCAAAGAAATCCAATTTAGGATTCGATGGAAGCTGGGCAAATGGTATGCCACTGGGCTTTTCCTAAAAAACACGGATAGTCTTCTAAAATTAGCCACAACAGACCCCATGTGACATAATCTAAAGTTGGTACACAAAAATGGTTCTATCAAAGCTAACCAATTGGCGATGAGGTTTCCGAGACTACAGTGGATTATGGGTGGCCCCCCAAGGACATGCATTCTCAAGAATGTAGGGGTTCCTTTCTCTACACGTGTGCACATTTCTAATTTGGAGGATCCAACCTTATCAAAATGGCTTCCTAGTGTGACTGTATTGGCACTCGCTGCGAGTGATTACTATGAGTCAGGGTTTTGGCTTTGTCCTCTCAGAGCCTAGTTCACTCTCACATGACAAACTTTAACACATTAAAGAACATGATCCATTTACAAACGCCCTGGCTACAATCGTCATGAGGCATCCATACCGACCCTGACTAGAAGGAACCTCCAAACCTCTCGGTCTAAACTAAAATGGCTTTACACAATCGCCTCATGACATGGGGTTTTCACGCTTTAACCGAATCCCAGTTCTCACGGACTTTGGTTGCCTAATGGTTCTCGCTCACTCACACTGGAAACAAGAACTAAGCTAGCAAATACAAGGCCTTGAAATGCCATACCTCCAACATCTCCCCACCATTATATGATTTAGTGTCAGTTTGGATGTACCCAAAATTGCAATATTTTCCGATGCCAAGAAAAAATGATTAAGATAAAAGGCAAGAACCATTTGGATAACCTCATAAAGATTTCTAGTTCACCCAAAAAGATATCAATTTGTCCTCAAACTACCGTGTCAAAAAAAATCAGGTCAGACTCAAATATTTTTTGCTTTAGACGCGTTTGCTTTTAAAACTTACCCTCCGGCGCCTCTCTCTCTCTCTCTTATCAACAAGGTACTCTTATGAACAAGGTAACTCCTCCACACGTAGGCCTCTCTCTCTCATCAAGGTCTCTCCACACGCAGGCCTCTCTCTCTCATCAACAAGTACTCTCCACACGCAGGCTCTCTCTCTATTCTCTCTCTCCTTCTCTCTCCCTTTCAGGCTGTGCCCTAATTTGTTCTCTAGTTTCTGCAACTTTTGCAAACCAAGTAGCTTGTTTCACTGGTGTGTATTAAGATCATTTGTGCCACATTGTGTCTTCAGCATGTTGGTTAAGAATTAGAGGTTAGGGAGAATTCTAGGTTTTCTGCTCAAAATAGAAGCTTCTACGGGAATGGGGGATTTTGGAGCATTAGTAGCTTGGCATCAGCAGATCCTCAAACTATGCCTTTGCTGTATTAAGGTTTTGGGTTTTTATTAGATACTATTTTACAGGTTTTTGTTGCTTTCGTTTTCATGTTTGCAGTGGTTAAGCAATAGGAAAGCCAACATAGCAGCCTTTCTTGTATTAAATTTTTTAGTTTTTAGTAGATATTTTTTTACAGGTTTTTGTTGCTTTCCGTTTTCATGTTTGCAGTCAATAGGAAAGCCAACATAGCAGTGGTTTCTCAGTAGGGAAACCAAGATGAAATAACTGCAGAATAAAAAACTCTCTTTATGTGGAAGCTATGGCACGAGTTGTTCTTTGGTGCTCTCAAATTGCGTCGGACCCACATCACATTTTCTTCTCATATTCTAATAAACATCTAAACAGTCTACCAACATAATAAAATAAGACAATAATGTTTCTCAATTGAGGAGGAAAAAACTTGCAATTTTTTTCTATATGAATAGTTTTTTCTGTGACATCCAAACTAGCCCTTATTTGGCAAGAAAGAAATTCAATAGCAAAAGAGGACAGCAAACAAATCATATATGGGTTTTAAGGGATGAATTTGGAAGATCAAGAATAACATCTCGGATTGTAGGTTCATCATACAATGGACGACAATAAAAGAGATATATAGAAGATGGCAAATTCAACTCCAAACCAAATGTACAGAAGCATTATGTACATAGAAGAGTGACAAAGTACCTCCCATATATTGTATATTTCTATTTCACCTATTAATACAACAGTATTACTACAACACGTGAAGCGCCGCTCAAACCCCTCGCTAATTTAGCGAAAATACATAACTGAAACACCTTATATCTAAGAACCCTAGAAAGTCAGAAGAAACAAGAAACTTAATTCCCTAAAAAGCAAAATTCTCATAGCTCTTCACTAAACATAAAAGAAAAATCATGCAACTCAAGACAATAAATTCACTTAAGCTCAGAAACCTAGCAATTAAGAAACCAGAAAGGCTAAAACCCATAAGAAAATAAACTCAGAGAATGAGAAAGGAGAGTTTGGACTCACAATCGTTCAAGAAGCGGCAATTGAGAGGACACACTAAAAGAAGAGACCGTCAGGTGAAGCTGGTGAAGAAGACCAAGGGTCTTGTCAATGGAGTTTATAACATTGTTGAGATTATGTTTGGAATCATTATCAGTTGTCCCCTTTCCCGCCTGCGTAGTTGCAGAGGGGTTTCTAGTCTCCATTACCCTCCCACTTGTGTGCAGTAGAGATAAAGGAACGCAATAAACTAAAGCTAAATGAAAACTAATTCATGAGAACCTAGAAATATAGAGAAAATGGAAGTCAAATTCAAGAATAAGATAAGAAACTTATTGAAACAGACGAAGCTTGCTTGAATATTCCACGAATATATGGAGATGAGACGGTGCAGGGCTGGAGGGTTTTTCAAGACTGTATGAGATGAGAAGGTGCAGAGGTGGAGGGTTTTCTAAGACTTTATCGAGATGAGACGGCAAAAGGCTGGAGACGGTGCAGGGCTGGAAGGCTTTCTAAGAATTTATGGAGATTAGAACAGCACAGGGCTGGAGACGGTGCAGGGGTGGAGCGTTTTCTAATACTTTATGGAGATAAAACGGCAGACAGTGCAGGACCAGAGGGTTTTCTAAGACTTCAGGTAGATGAGACGTCACAGGGCTGGGGTTTTATGATTTTATAATCATTGAAAAGAAAACCATCTAATACCATACCATCGACGGTTTGGTTGAGTGGCCCAAGGCGCCTGATTTAGGCTCTGGTCCGAAAGAGCGTGGGTTTCAAATCCCACAGCTGTCAACGATTTTATGATTCTCTAACACCAAAGAGCTTTTTTCTCCGGGTTTTTTTATTTTATTTTTACGAAAAAGTTTATATAAGGTTGTCGGGTTTTTTTTATTTTATTTAGAAAAAGATTTATATAAAGCTGTAACCTTAAAATGTAGAATCACATATTTAGGAAAAAAAAATTATTTACAATTGCTGAAGTTTTTTATTTTATTTAAGAAAAAATTTATATAAGGTTGCAACCTTAAAATAGAGAATCACATATGCACATCAAAACTCCATCACAAAAGGTTGTTTTTATGTTAAAAAACTCTCAAATTGACCATCTCGACATCGAGATGTATGAATATTGAAAAAAAAAAAAATTTATTTTGAGTCCTAGAAATAGTGCATCTTGCAACACGTTATCTAGACTGTCCGTTTTCAAGATTTTCATATATTTATAGATCCACTTGATTTTAATCATATTAGGAGTTTAAAATTTTATAAATAGATATAAAAGTAGGTTTTCAGATAATCCTAAGATTTTTTTACCCAAAAATAGCATGTTATGATAAATTTTGGAGGTGCGCCTTAGTTGGATTGTTGCAATCTTATAGAAACCGCACCCTTTTATTTATGATATTTTTTTAATTATTTATGTGAAAGCTTTTAATTATTTATCTCCTCAAATTTACGCACTTTACCATCAAATGTAGACTTTCTAGGCACTTTACCCACCCTAATTTTTTTTAGCATATTTTTCTCAAAAATCAAGTTTTATAGCAAATACCCCCAATACAAAAAGTTCTTTTTTTTGGACAAAAATACCCTTCTTATACATAACAAATCAATTTCGGATCCCAATAAAAGGAAACAACGGACCGCGGTTGTATATTTCCGTACCTATCCATTCTGCTGGAACGGAACTGTACACTGTCGGGCCGCCTATTCCATACACAATTTTGCCGGACCACAGATCATAAATGCTGGACCGCTCATTAATCCAGAAACAAATGCCGGACCGCACTTAGAAAACGTCGGAACGACCTCTTCCAAATGCCGAACCGCCTCTTCCAAACGCCAGACTGCCATGGTGAAGTGTCGGACCGTCATGGCGAAGTGTCGGACCGTTCCAAATCAGTGAGTTAAGTGTCGGAACGCCTCTTCCAAATGCTGAACCGCCATGGTGAAGTGCCGGACCATAAATGAGGGGTATTTTAGTCTCTCTTTTCAGTTTCTTTTTTTGAGTTGGGACGTATTTGCTAGGAAACATGGTTTTGGATAAAAAGTTGTTACGAAAAGTTAGGTTGGGGTAAATAGCTTAGAAAGTCCATTTTTAGGGGGTTTTATGCAATTTTCCTTAAGATTTATTATTTAAACCAAAACATTTTTCTTCAAGTTTTTTTAAATTTATGATACTAGAGTTTTTTATTTATAATACTAGGATTCTAGGGTTGTAATTATTTATCTCGAGACTTTTAATTATTTATCTCCTTAAGATTTATTTTTTAAACAAAAACTTTTTTTTTCTAGTTTTTTTAATTTATGATACTAGGATTCTGGGCTTTGAATTATTTATCTCTGAGGCTTTTAATTATTTATTTCCTTTAGATTTATTATTTAAACCAAAACTCCAAGTTTTTAAAATTTATTATACTAGGATTCCAGGCTTTTAATTATATATCTCGAGGCTTCTGTTGTTTATCTCCTTGAGATTTAGTATTTAAACCAAAACTTTTTTTTTCAAGTTTTTTTAGGCTAAGATTTCTGGCTTTTGTTATTTATCTCTTAAAGATTTATTATTTAAATCAAAAGTTTTTTCTCCGAGTTTTTTTAGACTAGGATTTCAAGCTTTATTATTTATCTCGAGGCTTTTATTATTTATCTCCTTAAGATTTATTATTTAAACCAAAACTCCAAGGTTTTATTATTTATCGGAGCTTCTGTAATTTAAACTAGGACTAGGGGTGGCAATGGATCCGACTTTGGGTCTGGGTATGGGTCCAATTTTTGAACCTGAAGGTTTGGGTCCGAGTAAAAAACCTGGAATTGAATATTATTTAGGTCCTAGTTTGGGTTCGGGTCTGAATCTAACCGAACTTGACGCGTACCCGACCCGAATAATTGGGGTATATGTTATGTTGGTATATTCATAAATGTTGCTAATACATTTGTTTCTTAGGAATTTCCAGTTATTACGTAAACCAATAAGGAATGAAGGTATATGTAGGTACTCCTAAATGTAGTGCAATATTATAAATGTTACCTATAATATGAGGATATGATAGTAAAAGAAAAGGCAAAAAAAAAAAAGAAGTTGAAACTCATAGTCATAGGGTGGCAATGGGCCTGACCAGACCCATGACCCAATGGGTCTAGATATGGGTCCAAATTTTGGACCAAAAGGTTGGTTCAGGTCCAAAACCTAGACCCAAATACTATTTGGGTTCAGGTACGAGTCCAGTTGGACCGGACATGTTGCCACCCCTAACCAAGACCCATGCTTTTATTATTTATCGGAGCTTCTATTATTTAAACAAGGACTCAAAACTTTTATTAGTTATCTCGTTAATATCTATTATTTAAACCACTACTCCAAGCTTTCATTATTTTTGTTAAGATCTTCGGGCTTGTATATACACTTTTAAAATTCAATATTGAAAAACTTTCCAATTAATTATCTCAACTTCTAGACTTTAAGAGAGAATTTAGTTAAAGTGTGAACCATATATGTAGAAAAGGTGGTTCTCACATTGAAAAATTCTTCAATTCATTGTCTCGCCTTGGAGAGGTTCACATGTGAAAAAAAAAAAAAAAGATTTTAGGTTCTTGAAATAGTGCATCTTATAATGTGTTATATGAATCGTTCATTTTCAACATTATTCATAGATTGACTCTATCTATAATATTTTTTAAATCTTAACTTTCATAATTAAATGTGAAAACAAAGTTTTGGGTTAGCATAAAGATTTTTAATATTGAAATAACATCTTTTGACACCATTTGAATGTGTGTCTTTCATTGTTTAATGTCGGAACCTTATTCAAACTACATGCATTATTTTTCACACCTAGGCTCCAAGCTATCGTGATTTCATCTTGTTAAGATTGTGTGCGAGCTTCCGTTATTTGTGGTGTTTAAGCGTTTAGCTTTTATTACTATTTGTCTTGTTAAGCTTTTCTTCGCTTAAGTTTTGTTATTATTATTTATTTTGTTAATAATTCTTTTTATGAGGTTTTGTTGTTCTTTTCAAATTACACATAGTAGGAAAGAGAATAATAGAATAGACATCAATTCTAAAGTGCATAGGAGCATGAGCATCAAAGCACATTGTCTATAAGCAGGGATGATGCTACTCAAACTCTTGTTCTCCTCCCGCAGATTGCTAATTTTGTTTATCTCAAGTATTCAATTTGATAATAGTATGGAAATTTCAAGAGAGAGATGAACTCTTTGAGAAAATAATTGTGCCCCACACTATTTTTGTGGTACTTTTTTTATTGTATATAAAATGGTAAATACAATTGTATAATATACATTTTCCTATTTTGTTATATGCAATATATTTTGTTATATGCAATATACACTTTCCTATCTTGTTACATGCAATATATAATTTCCTATATTGTTACATTTTCCTTTTAAAAGAAAATAGTAATATTTCTACTGTGACCATTCAAAAAACTTGAATATTTTATTTTTGTTTCTATTACTCCTTGCAAACTTGGCTGATGAGGCATTTGAAGTCTGAGTTTGAAGCAAATATCTTAAAAAACATCTCGTGGCAAAGGCTTCGTGAATATATCACCTACTTGATTGCGAGAGTAAACAAGATGAGTAACAAGTAATTCAAGAGCAACATTTTCATGCACAAGATGATAGTCTAACTCAATATACTTTATCCATGCATGAAAACAGAATTAACTGTTATATAGAGAGCACTAATATTGTCACAAAAAAGTGTTGGTAGCTTAGGAAGAGGCAACTCAATATCCCTAAGAAGAAAATAAAATCATGTCAATTATGCAGTAGTGGATGTTATAAATCGATATTCCACTGCAATACTGGAACGAGCCACAATTGATTATTTTTTTAACACTCTAAGATATACAGTTGGAAGCAATATAGTTGCAAAAACCATTGGTTGCACACCCAACCCAATTTGCATCAGAAAAGACATATACCTCAAGAGAACTAGCAGATAAGATTCTTAGACCATAGGATTGTGTACCATTGAAATAACAAAGAATCAATTTAACTACCTGAAAATGTGCATTTGTAGGGGTATACATAAATTGATACATTGTATTAACACTATGGGAAAGGTTTGACCGTGTTATGATAATATATTGGCGTGCACCAATAATACTCCAATAAATAGATGGATCAAGAAATAGATCAGAATTCCCCTAAATAGGTTTGGCACCAAGCATCTAAATATGATCAAGAAGATACTGGGTATATTTGCTTTGTGAGAGAAAAATCTCACCTGAAAAAAAAAACATCTATGCCAAGAAACCAGTGAAGATGGCCATTATCTTTCATTTTAAATTCCTTTCAAAATTGGGAAATGAACAATTCTAGAAGATTTGAATTATCAATAGTAACAATATTATCATCAACATAAAGGAGAAGGATAATAGTGCCTTGAGTAGTGCGAGAAACAAATATAGATGAATCGGCTATGTTGCAATAAAACCCCAATGATAATAAACAGATACTAAATCGGTCAAAGCAAACCCAATGTGCTTGCTTGAGACAATATAAAACTCTTTTTAATTTGCAGACATGATTTGGATATTTAAACCTCACAAATGCATAAGGTTGTTCCATAAATGCATGTTTCTTAAGAAAGTCGTGTAGGAAAGCATTGTTTACATCAAGCTGTTTGATAAGCCAGTAGCGCACAATTGATGAGGTGAGCACAATCTGAATGCTAGCAGGCTTAATAATATGATTGAATGTTTTAGAGAAATCAATTCCAATAA